TGCTCTCCCAGGCTCACTGGCTAGTCAGCTAAGCCAGTGAGTCTTGGGTAGATGAGACTCAAAAACAAGGTAGATGGCACCTGAGAAATGATACCATAGATTGGCTGACCTCCGACCTCCACTTCTAGGCACATATGCACATACATAATCATGCACACCAACTTACATGCACGCACACTGGGGAGGGGGATATGAGGCTAAATTATTTTACTTATTATTTTATAGAGAGGACGAGCAGGTACAGATTATGTTCTGTACAACACATAGTGACGATTCAAAATGGGGGTGCTCTTTTAGCAAGATTTCCATCTCTGCTCTTTGGGATTGAGTCCTTATTTGGGGTGGATGTCAACTGTATTCTAGTCTACTATGTGAATCTCGAGTGTGCACAGCCCCCTCTCTTGAGGGAGGGTGTTGGGGTTCTCTGAGGACGAGCAGCACCGTAGCCTGACTCTGTAGACAAGCTCCATCTAACATGACGCAATGACGTGACACCAAGGTCAGCTCTACCGGCGTCCCACCTGCCTCCTACGCCCCGCTTGGGTCACTCCGAACCGCCCTCATGCTACCGTGGACAGGGAGAGAGGTCTAACCTCAACCACGTCGTTCAGGTGCTGAGGGAGGTAAGTCACACTGGAATGGTGGAGTCTCAGACACTGTGGGTTACAATTGGGAGCTTTTGAGAGATTCCCACAAACCCTCATAAAACATCTGCCTGCCTCGGAGGCGCCTTGTTATTGTGATTCTTATTTGGCACACAGAGTCCCTGTTGCTGTACTTCAGGGACCCTTTCTAGCTGTTTAAGCAACTTAGGTAGGCACCTCAGGCCTTGAGGGAAATGAGGTGCCTGGAGTGGAGGGAGGGCCTTGTGGGCCTCATGACCCCTGGGGATTGTGGCGGATGCTCAGAAAACAATTATACTAGAGCAAGTTTCTCCAGCAGCCGCCAGGGCCTGCCTAGCTCCGCTCTCCCAGGAACACCAGGAACGAACGGCGCTCCCTTCTGCTGGGGGGAGAGCTTTAAATAGACGAGTATCTTAGCTGTTCCAGACAGAGTGAGAACAACCCATTTATGCCCTCTACATTATCCGGTGGGAGGCTGCGATCCATCTACATAAAATGTCGATTATCACTCAACAAATTAGTTCCAAGTTTAGTGCCACAAAAACACAGATTTTTCCTATTTCCTATTTCCTGAGGCTCCTTAGGTGAGGAGTCTTAGAGACTCCTATGGGACTACAGTCAGTAGAGACTCAATCAACCCAAGGCTTGGCTGGGTCGGAGAGCTCACTTCCAAGATGGCTTCCTGGTGCTGCTGGCTGGAGACTTCTACTCATGCTTGTCTGGGTGCTTCTGTTACATACCACATGAGCTAGGGTGAGCAACTCTCTGGGCTGATCCAAAACTGACTGAGTTCTCAGGATGTAGGAGTTTCTATGCTAAAACCAGGATGGTCCTAGGAAACCTCAAGACTAGTTGGTCACCCTCTATGAGCTGCTCCATGAGGCTATTCACAGCATGGGATGGTGTGAAACAGTGATCAAGGTTGAAAGTATTTTATAGCCTTACCTTGGAAGGAGCATATCATGCATCTGAATGTATATTTCTGGTACATTCCATTGGCCCAGCACCGACTGGCTCTGATAGAAAATGCAGAGGTCTAGAAAAAGGGCATGACTATCAAGAGGTGGGGTTCATGAGAACCATCTTTGAGGCTGGCCACTATGTTATCCTAAGATTAGATTATAGTGTGTGTGTGTGTGTGTGTGTGTGTGTGTGTGTGTGTGTGTGTTTGTATTTCTCAGGTTTCCTAGGCTGGCCTCAAACTCATGGTGGCTTTGAACTCCTGATCCACCTGCCTCCACCTCCCTCATGCTGAGATTACAGGTGTGTACCACCAGGCCTGGCTGGAATTATTTGCATATCATTTCTCTGCATAATCCACCTGTATTTGCATATCATTTCTCTGCATTAACAGGTCTCTGTGATGGCCCTTCCATTCCGGATTAGGTTGTTTGAAGCTGCAGGCATGTGAAACTCAATGGGACTGGGATCCAAAATAATTCCCTCAGCAGGCTGGCAGCTGCTGTGGTCCAAGGAAAGCCTTCTTTCTCCACATGTAGCTTCTCCATACAGAACAGCTGTGTTCTGATGGCTCTGTCAGAAGCAGAAGCTGCCAGCCTTCCTGGGATCAGATGGCCTTCAACATATTGCCATGTATCCTCCTCCAAAAGATGTCACAGGTCAGCCCTGACCCAGGGCAGGGAAGTTAACCCTGCTTCCTGCAAGGAGGTGTGTGTGTGTGTGTGTGTGTGTGTGTGTGTGTGTGTGTGTGTGAGAGAGAGAGAGAGAGAGAGAGAGAGAGAGAGAGAGAGAGAGAGAGATTAAGTGAGGAATTATATGAGTCTACCATACTCTAAAGTTCATACTTTGGGGTCTTTCTGGAGAAATGCACAAAATCCTCAAGGCTAAAGGCTAGCCATACACTCTCAATTAGATAGTATGTTCATTACTGTAATCCATTCCTGTTTATGGAGCACCGTGTAAAGGGCTTCACACACACACACACACACACACACACACACACACACACACACACACTCATTCTATTTTCATTGAATTCTCCTATCGATCCCATGAGGAAGGCTTTCTTTTCATTGGGTGGATAGGAAAACTGCACTTCCACAGATTAAGTAACTTGTCCAAGGCCAGAGTGCTAAAGTTGAATTCCAAAGTAGAGTTTTGAAGCATTCTTTAATTTTTTTCACTTTGTTAAATTTCTTAAACTTATTTAAGGAATTTTCTTTTGTAAATGAAATTATAAGAAGAATTTATGAGATTATATTTTTGGGTTTAGGGATGAGAGAGGAATGTTAATATAATTGTTCTATTTTGTTTGGGTATTTTTTTGTCTTTTTTTTTTTTTTAGTTTGTTTTGATTTGCATTTTTGTGGGGTTTTTTTTGGGGGGGGGGAGTTGAGACAGGGTTTCTCTGTGTAGCCTTGGCTGTCCTCACTCTGTAAAATCAGGCTGGCTTTGAACTCAGAGCTCCACCTGCTTCTGCCTCCTGAATGCTGGGATCAAAGGCGTGCACTACCACTGCTAGGCGTGTGTGGGTTTTCTATTTTTGTTTTGTGTTTGTGTGTACATGCTTGTATGTGAGAGAGAGAATGAAGTTTGGTGGGTAGGGAGGTTGGGAAGAACCTGAGAGGAATCAGGGGAAGGGAAAAATAGGATGAAAACATATTGTAGGAAAAAAAAATATTTTTTTTTTGGCTTAGTGATAATGCATTTATTGTTCTGGCAGAGGACCTGGGTTTTATAAATGGACATTTCCATCCCAACCGCCTGGTCCAAAAAACAAAAAACAACAACAACAAAAAAAACCCCAAAAACCAAAAAACACACAGAGGCTTATTATATAAATAATTGGCCTATAGCTCAGGCTTATTACTAACTAGCCCTTACATTTAAATTAATCCATTTTTATTATTCTATGTATTGCCACATGGCTAGTGGTTGTACCTGTCCTCTAGCATCTTTCTTCCCCGGTGGCTGGCTCTCATCTCTCTTGACTCCACCCTTCTTGCCCTCAGCATTTTCAGTTTGACTTTCCTGCTTAGCCTTATTCTGCCTTGCTATAGGCCAATCAGCTTTTTTTTTTTAAATTAACCAATGAGAGTAATACATATTCAGAGCAATGTTGTAGAGTTTATCTTAAGGTGTGTTACTTTTGTTTATGTTGCATTTGTTTAACTCTGTGAAGCTGTGTTACTGTGCCTGTCTAACACACCTGATGGTCTAATAAAGAACTGCATGGCCGATGGTGAGGCAGGAGAAAGGATAGGCAGGGGCAGCAGGCAAAGAGAATATATAGAAGGAGAAATCTGGGAGAAGAAAAGAGACGGAGAAGTGGAAGAAAGAGTAGCCAGAGAAGGAGGAGGACTCCAGGGGCTCAGTCACCCAGCTACACAGCAAGTCATGGAGTAAGAGTAAAATTTACATAAGTAAGAGAGCGGGAAAAGCCCAGAGGCAAAAGGTAGATGGGATAAGTTAATAAAAGCTGGCAAGAAACAAGCCAAGCTAAGGCTGGGCATTCATAAGTAAGAACAAGCCTCTGTGTGTGATTTATTTGGGAGCTGGGTGGTGTCTCTCCCCCCCCCCCAAAGCCAAAAAACAACCAACAACAGAGCATACAGAAGGATTATTCCACAGCAGGATTGATTCCAGCACCCACATAATGGTTCTCAACTGTCTATTACTTCAGTTCCAGAAGATCTAATGCTTTTGTTTGGCCTCCACAGGCACCAGGCATATATGTGGTGCAATACCCCCCCCCCCACACACACACATTCTGACATAAATGCTGGCACACATAAAAGAAAAAACAATTCTAAAGCAACAAATAATTAGCGGATTTTAAGACAAGGCCTTGCTTTGTAACACAGGCTGGCTTGCTGTTCACTACATAGTCCAGACTACACTCAGTCCTACCTCTTTCTTCTGGAATGCTGAGATCACAGGCATGGGTACCTCTTTAGGACACTTGCCGTTAGAATTCTACCTCTCCAGTGCCAGCCACTGCACTGTGGGAGGTCCACACGAGCAGGAGGCCAGGTGTAGACACGCCTCTCCAAAGCCCATGTCCCAACTGATGGCCATCATCAATTAGCAGCCATATGAAGAGCCACATTGAACTTCTCAGTCTAGGTAAGTAAAGTCCTCAGATACTGCAGCCCCAGTGATGACTCTCAGCCTGCATAGATGAGCTGCTAGCAAAGAGAGCAATAAAATGGTGTACAAGGTTTGGGCAATATTTGTTATGCAACAGTGGACAACCACAACCAGATATTTGTGCTTTCTTGGGTGAACCCCAGCAGCCTGGAAAGGAGGGAGGTGCTGTGGATGATTGACTGATAAATAAAATGCTGATTGGCCAGTAGTCAGGCAGGAAGTATAGGCGGGACAAAGGGAAGAGAATTCTGGGAAGTGGAAGGCTGAGGGAGAGAAATGCTGCCAGTTGCCATGATGAGTAGCAAGATGTAAGTTACTGGTAAGTCATGAGCCACGTGGCAAGGTAGAGATTAATAGAAATGGGCTGAGTTTAAGTGTAAAAGCTAGACAGTGGTAGGCCTGAGCTAATGGCCAAACAGTTTAAGTAATATAAGCGTCTGAGTGATTATTTTATAAGTGGGCTGTGGGACTCTGGAGGCTTGGCAGGACCTGGAGAGAAACTCCCCAGCTACAGGGGGGTTCCTGCCCTGGGAAGTGGTTGAAGTCGGGAACCTTTCAAAGTTCAAGTGAGGCCAGTGCACATAGGAAGGTGGGTCTACCTCTGACATTTTTCCTTGTTCCCCAACCCAGCTGAGAAAACTTCATCAAGTCACAAGACTGGGAGGAGAAACTGTGCGTAAAGGAATTCACAGAAATCCGGGCAAGATTCCCAAAGTAAATGATGTTGATTCTCGGCACAAAGGAGGGCTTTGCTGCTGATGGTTGAACTCACAGAAACAGTCATTGCCTGTTTGTGACAGACTTGCTATTTTTGAATTTTTCTAATTTCAGAAAAGTGACCATAGTAAGTGTTATTTAAACACTGAGAGCCCTTGGAAATGTCTAAACACTGTACCCAGCGCCTGAGGGGCACAAGAGGGTCCTTGTCCTAGGAGACTGGTCTACACAGCCTTGTATGTGGGAGTGGTGCCAAGTGGACCTTCAGTTAGCCCTACGTGGCTGTTGGATCCCAGCTCCTTCCTGGTATGAAGCAGGCCAAAGGGACCCCTAATGTCTCCGGAGAAGAGCAACTCTTTAGCCAGTGTGAATCTCATTCATTTACTCTCCAAGCCCTCACCTCTCAGCTTTCCCAGCTGAGTGGCTCTCAAGTTTTGGGGCACCCACATGATCTGGAACTATATAAAGATGCACATTCCCAAGCTCTCCCTGAGAAGAGTTCCTTTCTACCGGTCCAGGGACAGTTTTCAGCAGCTTCCTTTTGATGACAACCAGGTGATTCCTTGGTACCAGGTTGATTTCACATCTGTTGATTTGTTTGGATATTTATTTATTTATTGCTTTGTTCTGTTTTGTTTATACTCAGCTGGCCTCAAACTCTCAGAAGTCCTCCAGTCTCACACTCTCAAGTGCTGGGATTATGAACTTGGGTCACCATGCCCAGTTTATAGAACTCTTAAGCTGTGACTTATATTTGGGTATGGTGGCAAACACTTAGGAGGTGGAGATGACTACATAATGAAATCCAGTCACAAAACACAGAGGGAGCTGGGTAATCTCAGGTCTTCCCTGAAGCACAGAACCGGAGAGAAGCCCCTGCCTGATCCTACCTTGAAGCAGATGGGATCTTGGTCCAAGCATCTACATCAACAACACCATCTGGAAGAAGAGTTTATTTTATTTTGCCCCAAAGCATTTCTCAAAAGCTCTATCACCTCCAGCTGAGCAGGTTGTTGTTGTTGTTGTTGTTGTTGTCGTCGTCTTACTCTAGTAGGTTTCTGAAATTTCATCAGAAGAAAAGAATTGCAGGGTTGTGGCTCAGCTCAGTGCTGGAGTGATTGCCCAGCAGTTCAAAATGCTGCACTCAATCCCCAGCACCATGGAAAATAAAATAATATAAAGTAAGACAAAATAAAAATGAGCCCAGGATGGTAGCACTCACATTGTTTTTTTTTCCTTTTGAGACAGATTCTCTAGCCCAGCTGACTTCAGACTCACTATGTAGCGGTGGTTGACCTTGAACTTCCGATCCTCCTGCCTCCACATCCCAAGTGCTAGGATTATAGACAGGCAGTATCATACCTGATTTTATGTGGTTCTAGAGATCGAACCCAGGGCTTTGTCCATGGTAGGCAGGCATTCTATCAGCTGAACTGCTTCCTCAGTAGTACTTTACAGCTCTTAGAAGATTGTCATGCCAGGCGGTGGTGGTACACGCCTTCAATCCCAGCACTCGGGAGGCAGAGCCAGGCAGATCTCTGAGGCCAGCCTGGGCTACAGAGCGCGATCCAGGACAGGCACCAAAATTACACAGAGAAACCCTGTCTTGGAAAAAGAAGGAGAAGGAGAGAAGGGGAGAAGGAGAAGATTGCCAAGAAAGCCAGCCTGGGCTACAGAGCAAGACCCTGTTTTCAAAAACAAAGAAACGAGGCTTCTGTTTGATCCCCTGTGGCTGGGGTTGGAGGAGAGATAGTGAATCTTGTCCGGAGGTTAGGGCAGGATACAGGATGTTAATTGTGCTCAGAAACTCAAGATCCATGTGGGCAACACAGTGAGATTTGCTCTCAAAGAAGAAAGATACAGTTTAATTACTAAACTCTCTTTCCTCTGCTAAAGCAAAACCTAAACCAAACCAAAAAACAACCAAACCAAACAACCTTCCGTAACAGCAGGATGGAGAGAGAGACTGGAGACCCCGAGCCCAAAGCTGGAAACATCCCATGTCCACCACCTCTTCAGTTGATAAGGAGAAACGTGGGCATATTTCTGTAGCAGGATATATGTCTATGTCTAGGCATTTGTTCTGTTGAGGCATATCTCAGGTTGGTCTTGAACTCATGATCCTCCTGCCTCATCATCTTCAGCATTTGTCCATGGCATGGACCACCATAACAGTGGGATGTTGTATGTTCAGTCATAAAAACCAAAGGAGTACTGATTCCTGCTACAATACAGAATCATTTCGTTAGTGCTGTTCCAAGTGAAAGGAATCAGCTACAAAAGGCCACACACTGTTGTTGATAGAGACACCCAGAGCAGGCACGGTTGATTGAGACAGAAGGCCAGTGACAGAAGGCCAGCGTTGCTGCCTTGAGGGGGCTGGAAAATGAGAAATGGTTTCAAATTCATAACTTCTTCTGGAGATAATGAAATGTTCTGGGTCTAAAGTGTGGTGAAAGTCCACACTGTGAATGCACTGTGTTGATAATGGTACCTTTTTTTTTTTTTCCAAGACAGGGTTTCTTTGTGTAGCCCTGGCTGTCCTGGAACTCGCTCTGTAGACCAGGCTGGCCTCAAACTCACAGAGATCCGCCTTCTTTTACACTGCTGTCCCCCACCCCCACCCCCAGTGCTGGGATAAAAGGTGATAAAGGTACATTTTAATAATGTCTTACCACACTTAAATTCCACTAACACAGCTATTTTGCCTTCTCCTGATGAAGAATTGGAGATCCCCCAGCCTGTCAGGGATCAGGCAGGGTCACTGAGTGGAACCTACCACAGTGAGCTGCTTCTCTTTCTCAATCTCACCCCAAGCCTAATAACCCTGAAGGAAAAACAAACAAACAAAACCAAATGTCCTGCCTTTCTGTGAATTGCACTTCCAGACCTCCTTACCTCCCAGGCAAAGGTCCACCTTGTTCTCTCTCAGAGAACCTGAGCCATCCTTCTGCTGTTGGCTCCAGAGCCCCGTTCCCTTCAAGTGTGGAATGAAAGACAAATCATTTCGAGCTTCAGATCTAAGCACATGCCACAGCCGTCCAAGGCAGTTGATAAGGGCTGCGCTGATCCATACCTTACATTGCAGACATTCCTTAGCTTCCCGGTGGGGCAGACAGCCTGGAGGAGCTGATGCTGGTTTCAGGGCTGGCTAGGATTAATCCCAGCCAGATGTATCAGCGTGTGGTTGGCTGTTCTCTGACTTCCAGACAACATGAAGCTGTTTCACAGTTGGTAGTGGGTGGAGACTTGTTGGTAGATTGCGTGTGGTGGCACAAACCATAAATTCGAGTACTTGTGAGGGTGAGGTAGGAGGAGAGGGAGTTCAAAGCCAGGGGCTGGAGAAATGGTTCAGTGACTAAGAGCACTTGGTGCTCTTTCAGAGGACAAGGGTTCGATTCCCAGCACACACATGGTGATTGATTCACAGCCATCTGTATCTCCAGTACCAGTGGACCTGAGGCCTTCTTCTGATCTCTTCCAGTACCAGACATGTAGTGTACATACATTCATGCATGGAAAACATTTATACACATAAAAGTAAAATAAACAAATCTAAAAAATAGTTCAGGGCTAGATGTATTTATAGAGTGAGTTCAAGGCCAGACTGAGACGCTGTGTAGAAATGATGGAGCTAGGAAGGTAAGGGAGTCAGTCAAGGGCTTTCTGCGTAAGCATGAAGACCTGTGTGATCATCAGAACCTACCTACATAAGATGGTCATGGTGACACGTACTTGTAATCCCGGCACTGGGAAGGCCGAGGCAGGCAGATCCCTGGAGCTCACTCACCAGCCACTCAAGCCTACTTGGTGAGCTTTAGGCCAATTACAGACCCTGTTTCAAAATGCAAGGCGGAGGTCCGCTGAGGAATGACTTCTGAGGTTAACGTCTGGCCTCTACATGGATATGCACACATGCCACCAGCATACACACACACACACACACACACACACACACACACACACACACACACACACACAGAGTGAGGAGGGCTGAGGATGCAGCTCAGGAGAGCAATTGTCTAGCATGTGTTGCTGAACGGTCAGTGTTGTTCAGCCTTAAGGATAGTGTGTAGCACGCAGGGAGTGTAGTATGAGAACTGAGGGTCGTGTCTGGTCACTATTTCCTTCCCTTCCCTTCCCTTCCTTCCTTTATTTATTTATTTTTTGCCACAGCTCCTCATATATCCTGGGCTGGACTTGAACTCAACCCATAGAAAATGCCCTTGAAGCTGATTCTCTTGCTGTCGCCTCCTGGTAGATTAGTGCATCACCATGCCTGGCCTGGCTACTTTCTGAGACAGAAACATTCACAACCCTGGGATGGAAGTGGGCAAGAGGAAGGAAGGACTCATTTGCTCCCAGCACCACCCCCACCTCCCTCACCTCCCTATCCTTCTCAACTCCCCACCCCTCTCACCCCCCACCCCTACCCCTGGTCTCAAGACTTTACCCAGGCTTTTGCTTGGTCCCTGCTCTGACCTTCCTTAGTTATAGTCTCAAAACTCATCACTTTTTTTTTAAAACCTCATTAGCATACAAACTGGCAATGGCAAGATCCAGGAAATCTACTCTCTGGAAATTTACTGAACTGGAAGCTGGGAGACCTGGCTGAGAAGGAGAAGTAGTTACATTCACCGGTGCTGAGGCTAGCTGAGGACGGGAAATGGTGGTGTGGAGTCCCGAGAAGGTGGCCATCTCTTTTCAGGCACAGCAGGGATGAAAGGGGATACTGAGGCAGACTGTAGAGCAGTAGAGTCTGTGCTTTCTAAGTCATCAGTTGGGACAGAAGGAGGGGATTTTCCATAGTGAAATACTGTACTCATGGTGGCTATTTAGAGCTAGGGGTTGAGGCCGGTGGTGGTTGGGCCTTCTTGTTTGGGGCTCTTGTTTATTTGAGACACAGTCTCATGAAGCTTAAGTCAGCTTCAGATAAAAGCTGTAGCCAGAGATGACCTTGAACTCCTGATCTGCTGCCTCCAGTTCCTGAGTGCTAGGATGACAGCCCTGTGCATCACAGCCCGTCCTGACCTTGGGCGGTTGTGGGTGGTTTCATCACTGTGTGGACGGATGCCTCATCTCCCAACCCAGGCTGGCCAGCCAAGAAAGGTCTCCCAGGACAAAAGCATTGAAAAGACAGCGCACACTCTGTCTCTCATCAGAGATTATGAAATGTACAGCTCAGCTCAACACTCCAAAAGGTCTTGCAAGAAAGAAACTTGCTTTGGTGTTAGGTAACCCAATGTTTCCCAAACTCATTTGACCTCAGACTTCCTTTGCACCCATTTTCCATTCTCCCTTGGCCTGGGAGAGCCAAGGTCTTAATTATCTTTTGGGAGGCACAAATTCTACCATTAAACTACCAATCCCCTCTAATATTTTGGTACTGGAGACTTATGAGTCTTGGCAAATATTTTGCCACTGTAGTATACTCTCAGTCCTATTATTATTATTGTTGTTTTTTTTTTTTTTTTGAGACAGGGTTTCTCTGTGTAGCTTTGTGCCTTTCCTGGAACTTACTTTGGAGACCAGGCTGGCCTTGAACTCGCAGAGATCCGCCTGCCTCTGCCTCCTAAGTGCTGGAATTAAAGGCGTGCGCCACAACTGCCTGGCTATGTTGTTGTTTTAAGGTGTATTTATTCGGCCGGGCGGTGGTGGCGCACACCTTTAATCCCAGCACTCAGGAGGCAGAGGCAGGCGGATCTCTGTGAGTTTGAGGTCAGCCTGGGCTACCAAGTGAGTCCCAGGAAAGGCGCAAAGCTACATAGAGAAACCCTGTCTCGAAAAACCAAAAAAAAAAAAAAAAGATGTATTTATTCATATGTATGTGTGTGAGTGCCTGCCACGTACATGCAGGTGCCCACGGAGGTCAGAAGAAGCCATCAGAGCCTCTGGAATCGGAGTTAGAAGAGCTTGTGAACTGCCACATGTTGGTGCTGGGAACTAAACTCTGGTCCGACGAAAACGCAGTAAGAGTTCTTAACCACTGAATCATTTCTCCAGCC